TGTGTGTGTGTGTGTGTGTGTGTGTGTGTGTGTGTCCCGGGGAAGGCTTGAAGGCAGTACGGAACTTGTTGCAGGAGTGCAATTCTTAACGCAGATGAAGCTGTATCTTGTTGCTACATGGCAACAGTGCAGTAGGAGGAAGTGACTTGACTGCTGACGCACGTGCACTCAGAGTGGATTGGTGATCTGGCATGGTGGGTATGGGTGGCGGTTCTCTCTTTCCTAAAGTCCGCTGTACATGCACCAGCGGGCAAGCTCTATTGGCAAACACCGTGCAAGGAGCTACATCTGAAGCCTTTCCCGTTGATGCCAAGCGGCCGCAAATCCCAGAGGCAAAAAAAAAAAAAAAACAGCTGCAGAATTGCGGTTGGTATCGTGTGACTGCCCAATTCCCATTTCCCAAAATCGTGTGGCGGCCTCAGCCATGTCTTTTCCGTATTGGGGACACGGTGTGACCTGGGCTACCACTAAAACCCCAAATTGGGCCTCCGCAATTTCTCATAAATTGGGGATCTGGTATCGCAGTCTAAGCGTGCCCTCAGGCCAGACCTGCGTGCACGCGGGGCCGTGACCCACTACCGGGGGTTTAGTTTATGTTTCGTGTATTTTCCAGCGTGGTCACACTAGGGCCGTCAGATTTTCAGATCTGATGGCAAGGAGCCGTGCACACTCGAAACCCGAACAAAACCTCAAGAGGGAAGTGATTTGTCACTTTAACATTGCAACAGACCCGGGTGGCCGTATGCGCCCGGTCACCTCTGGCCATTGATCTTTGTACGCATACCGAACGACTAGATAACACTTTCTTTCCTAACTAGAAACAAGACCGCACAACCGCACGACCCTCTACCACGACCACAACCACACCGCCAGCATGACCGGTCGGTCACCTTTCACCGTCAGCAACCCTTTATTGCATGCAACGACGCCCGAGTCACTGGCTGCCGCTGCCAGCAATCACCGCAGGGGCCAAGTCCCACGAGCAGCGTGCAGTGTCCTCAAAGGCTGAATCTGGACGTGTTTGTGGAGATGTGCGGTTGAGGAAGGTTTTTGCTTTTTTTTTTGCTTTTTCTTTTCTGCATGCATCTACCCGCAACTCCATCCACCGGCAGAAACCTGCATACTTCCCGCAACTCCGTCCACCCCAACTCCATCCACCCCCAGAAACCTGCATACTACCCACAACTCCATCGACCCCCAGAATTCTGCATACAACCCGAAACTCCGTCCACCCCCAGACAACATGCGCCCTACGGTAGCCCGACGAATCTGGCAGACGTTACGGCTAATGCAGCCACAGAAACCCCTTCCCTACTAACTACGGGTCGTGATGCACACTGCTTGTGCAGTGTGCAGCCACATCAAACATCAAACTTTCCTACACCTGGAACCCTCCAACAACCTTCACCTCCCCGCTCTTCACCGCAGCCACGTTACGTGAGGAAACGACCGGTCGGTCTCCTGTCGGCGACCACAACCCTATTTTGCATGCAACGACTCCTTGTATAACCCTCTAAGACGTACTAAGCGGTCAACGGCATTCCCCATATGGAATGCGACATAATGGAATGCGATAGCTAGACGACAAAAGAATAATGGAATGTGATAGCTAGACGACAAAAGACATCAGTGTATACACAGCCATCCTGGCTGTAAGCCCTTCCCTCCTCCTCTCTGCGGTGGGCGAAGTCATTTGGTGGGATCGTCAACAAATGTCCTGTGGTGTCTGCCTTTTCCTTGGCACGGCCCAAAACGTCCCCATTGCTGTCCCTTTTTTTTCCCTCCACTTTCCCCACGAAATAACTCCTCGCTCCTTACGCGTCACCCTTCCGCCCCTTGGCTGCGCTACCGCGCCAGGCGCGGTCTATCAGTGAATTGTGGGATCGGCGTACAGCAAGTCTTTGATGCTCTTGTGGCGCCAAGCAAAATAATAGCACATGGAGCGCCTACCAAGGCGGAAGAGGTTTTCTGTGAAAAAGCTCTCCTGGATGCGGGACCAGTGCCCCAGCAAGATCGCCCTTCAGTCCCATGGCCAGGGCAAGTCCGAAATCGTCTGCCGCCAGACCCTGTCCCACCACTGAGCGCTATAACAGCACCGACGAGGGGCACTGCATGAAGATGTGCTTCACCGTCTCAGGCCTCTCTTGAGATGAAAGTTGTGTAGGCATTTTCGGCACCATGGCAGTGCACGCCCCTGTTGTTCCAATCGAGTATGGTCAATCAACCAGTCATTTGTAGGTAGGCAGCGGTGGGCTATCTACCACTGCAAGGAGGGGATCTTCTGATCTTGGCTGGCCTCAGCTTGTGTTCACCGAACCACCTGATTGGTCTCAACAGGCCCTGTTCAACGTTCAGCCGACGCTGCCACCTGTCCTCCAGTATGCCTCGTAACTTCCTCCTAATTCTCAGCGTCCTATATCATGTCGTCTTTGCCTTCAGGTTGGCTAGTTCCACCACTTTTTGGGCCCTCCTTTCCCGTTGGTTAGCCTGAATGGCTCGATTCCACCTCCATTCCCCGGGTTCAAATGGTATGTCGATAATTGGGGTCATTAGTCTATACGCCCTCCACCCCCTTCCTTCCTCCAATACCCTTTTTTTTTTTTTTTTTTTTGAAACTTCGTTATACGGGGAACCTACTCACCGAGGTGATAAGAGCATCCCCGGTAAGTAGGGCCCTGCGTCGAAGGCTCCATCTATTGGTGGGGAGCTACACCTGCTGGAAATCGGGTCCAGCGTCCCTGTACAATTATGAGAATGTATCTGCTGGAAAACGGGTCCAGCATCCCAGTACAATGATGTGAATGTATCTGCTGGGAATCGGGCCCAGCACCCCTATGCAAAACCACAAAACCCTAACAATCTGTATATGTCCAAATGAAAACACACAACCAATGTGTATGATCTTTATCCATCGAGTGTGTGATACGGTGCATGTGAACATTATCTGAGATATACTCGATCCGAATGTTCCAAAGATGAGCAGAGGCATTGATTACTTCCCTGCGACAGGGAAGGATTGACCTCATGCCCATGAAGAATTATTGTATCTATAAAGCCGTCGACATCAATCACCCCCGGGAGAAAGACAAACAAAACAAAACAAAGCCAAACTCGAAAACCTACTCTACCTACATCCCTTGGGGGCGATCGGCACCCCGTCATGATTAGAGATTGAGGGCCGGTCAGCTCTAATCAAAGAAAACGGGGTTGGACGTCTATCCAACTCCCACCCGATGGCAGACCGAGAAGAACGAGTCACCATGTAGAAACAGCAGATAGGAGGGGGGGGAAACAGCTGATTGTTCCTTCAACCCCAAACCCCAGCTTGCCAAACCCCATTTCGCCAAACCCCATCTCGCCAGGCCCATCACTCCGCATATAACCCTCTTATTAGCCTGGGGCTTCTTTCCCATCGTTTTGTTGCTGTCTTCCCTGCTGCTCCCATGGCCATCACCACTTCCACCGCCGTCGTCGTCGTCGTCGCTGCCACCGTCGTCACCGCTGCCGCCATCATTGCAGTTGTTGTTATTTTCATCCCCATCGTCGTCGGTGTTATTGTTATCTGGCCCAACTCCCACCACAGCGCTGCTGTCGTCGTCATCGCCGTTGTTGTTATCATCGTTACTATTGTTGTTATAACCTTTGTTGTTGTGCATATTGTTGCTGTTGTTATCTGGCCCAATTCCCACCACTGCGCTGCTGCCGTGGTCATCGCCGTTGTTGTTATCATTGTTACTTTTGTTGTTGTAGTTTTTGTTGTTGCGCATCTTGTTGCTGTTGTTGTTGTCGGTGCTGATGCCGGAGTTGGCCTTGTCTTCCTGCGCTCCATTCGCCTGCGAGAACTCGTCCTCCATGACGTCATCGCCCACCAGCCGGTCCTCCAGCTTTTGGCGCAGGTCACGGCCCTCAGCGAAGAGGGCATAACAGATAGACATCATGCCATGTGCCGCCGTCCAGTCATTGCAGGATTCTAGCAGAGGATCCAGCCCCTCCTCCAGCTCCCAGATGATGTCGAGCATGTCTTCGCCCATATTCTTTGCCCAGTCAGCCAGACGGCTCGCCCCCCCTGTGTCCTGTGGCTCCTCATGCGACCGCGAGGATAGCTCGCCCACCATCACCTGTAATCTCCTGCATCCTTCCTCCAGAGTCATCAGCCAGTCTTCTGTTCGTCGTTGTAGCTCCCCCCCCAGCTCCATCTCTTCTGTCGCAGTCAAATTTCCCCTTGATCGTTGCGTGCATCCGAAGGTTTCACCCGCTGCTTCGCCCTACCAGCGATGGCTGCTGTGCTCCTTCGCCTCGCCAAACCTGAGTCAGCGGGAGTGCGGACGGACCTCGCCGTACCGGTCCCGCTAGCGCACGCGATTCTCTTCGTTTTTTTGGTCTCGTCACGGGAGACCTCCCTCCTCGCCTTCCAGACGAAAGTCTGCCTGCTACCGGTTAACCACTCATTCCTTCCTTTTGGAAACTGCTCAATCATACAAGGAAACAAGCACAGCCTGGGGAACAACGACTGCAATGATATCTGTTGTATGATGTATCAATGGGACGCTGGACCCGATTTCCAGCAGGTGCCGCTCCCCACCAATAGATGGAGCAGCCCGGCAGATAAGTCCTCGATTCTGGTGGTTCTCTTACCACCATCGGAATGGAGAAGCTTACACAAGGGCTTTAAACCAAAAAAAAAAAAAAAAAAAGGGAACTGCTCGATCAGCACCTCCTTCCCCCCTTACTAGTTGGACCCCGTCCGACCTGGTCCGCCTCCCCGGGCAGACCCACCCAGACCCCTTCCTCTAAACATCTTCTTTTCTTAAGAAGAGTATACCATGCCGGGGGGAAGCTGTTGATATATCCTCCAATGTGGCCCGGGTTTGATGGCAGTATCGAAGGCATCCCCACATCCTTTCTGCGCACTTCCACTCCTTAGCTTATGCGTCCCACAAGTCTCCCACGCACAAAACCCCGTGCTTTACCCACCCCTACCACGGGGGATATGAATTACATCTTACCTGACTGTGGGGGTCCGTGACCCACATATTGCCAAAAAAGGGTTGTATATAGACCTCTTCCCACCTATTTGGCGCCGGCCTGCTAGAGATTGAGAGCTTCCTCCATGTCCTCAGGAAGCGTGGCCACAACTCATCCACCAGGTCTCTGTTCAGCATGGCCACAACTCATCCACCAGGTCTCTGTTCTTGTGCGGGATCTTTCAGTACTTGTCCTCTATCCACACCAGCGGATCGATCTTGGAGGAAATATCCAGCGCAAGGGCCGCTATTTGTGTCATGGTTAAGGGGACCCAGGAGGAAGAGGGAGAAAAGATCAGAGTCTGAAGCCATTTATTCCCTTCCTTGCAGATCGCCATCTCTCCCCTTTACCGTGTCCTGCTACTCCCCCTGTCTCTATCTCCACCTCGTCTTCTACCATCCCTAACCCCGGTCCTGCCTTCTCTCTTCTTTCTTTCCTCCCGCCTCCCCACCCACCTTCCAGCTCTCTTACCTCAGCCGCTTGCGATGATATACTCCCTTCCCACGTTCAGTCCGTTTACTCATGTGTCTATCTAGCCCGGCTCACCGCAGCTGTTTATCTTTATAACTTTTCCCTTTGTTTCCCTATAAAGCATCGGTGCAGGTCACTATCGAGCCCGTGGTGCGAGAAACCCCTAGATTGAGACCTGCCATTACGAGGGTTCCATGAACTTCCATCTATTCGTTGAGGACAGCATGTGCTGAAAAGTGGGTCCAGCATCCCATGCACAGGGCTCCCATGGGCCAGGTCCCACTGGGCCACTAACGGTGGTTTTGTTATGAGATACCATCATTGAACTGACCAGCCCTAGGTTATTCAGAACTGTAGTATTTTACTCATCTTCTCTGGGTGGTGTTTGAACTCAGGTTTGTATTTAAACAGTCCAGGGTTGTACCAACTGAGCTAGGTCAGTTGGTGGTGGTTTTGTTTTGGTTTGGAGTCGTGCCACAGCCGACATGTAAAAGAAAATGAGACAGCTCTTTACCTGAGGCCGTTAGATCATGGGCTGCCCGAATAGATCAACTTTATATGTTATGAAACGGGGAAAAAAAGTAAAAATTGCAAACATAGCTGAGGTCATCGCTTCAGTTCCGTTTGGCTGGGGAACAATCATGGGCTTTAATGATATATTCACTGACATGGCGCACTTTTCTTTCACAGTTGGGCTATCGCACAACCTCCAACCATTACAAAACCACCACAAGTGGGACTTGTCCTGGGGACGAAGCTAGCAAACCACAGGCCTCCCCTTCTTTTTCTTCCCCCCCCCTAAAGAAACCCCGACTTTATCATTCGGGCCCAGTACCCAAGGTCAAGTACCTCAACAAATGTAGAGTAAAAGGAGAAAAGGGTCAGTCAGGTAGTCTTGCCCTACCAAGAGCCCAGGGCCCTGCCCCTTCAGAAACGGTAATTACCAGTCTTAAACCACCAGTGCATCCTAGCCTCTTTTGTACAAGGTGGATTCCCCATGTGTGCCAACGTTTGCCTAAACACCAGCACAGCATCTTTGCCTCGTTGTTGTCTTGGTTTAGGCTGGCTCCTCCGGCCATTTTGGTCTGGTTGCCTGAGCCTCCAAACTTCTTGGAGAGAGCCTCTTGTTTCTCTCAAGTTGCATGGAGAATTGTCCCATTAGCATTCAGGTAGAGTCATGGTCTATCCAGGGTGACAATGTGTGGCCTGGCTGTGATATGTGTGTGGACTACTATAATGGGATATAATGCGATAAAATATATTATGAGACTCAAGACTTTTTTTTTTTTTTTTTTTTTTTTTTAGGGCATGCTCCAATCTATTCGTGGGGAGCAGCACGTGCTGGGAATTGGGGCCAGCGTCCCATATGAAGACATGTACAAAACAATTTATGAACCAATTGAGGTACGGGGCCATTTACCCGGTTTCGGCTTGAGAGTATCCTCCAAGATCGTGAACAAGCTACTGGACTTTGGGATAGATGACAAGAAGACTACGAATCCTTTTTTATGATCGCTAAACACCTCCTGAAGTCCACCGCAATTTTCAGAACACTCGAGTATCTAAGGGATTTCCAACAGATCATAACAAAGCTCACTAAAACTGGCTTATTCTCTGACAAACTCATCCAGGCCTCACGACCCCTATCTGCTAGGTTACAGAGCAACGCGATTCACTCCAGGTCCGGCCAGTGTCGCCCTGTGTCAGCAACCCCCAGCTGTCCCTTAGGATGCCCCGCATAGCATCCCCAAATCTCTCTGCAAGGCCTCAATGCCCTCACCTTCGGCAAGTTACAGGGCATCACCCCGGCTCCGGCCAGCATCGTTCTGGCATTGAACAGCCACGGATCCTGAATATAACAGTCTAATTCCAGTGCAGCTTCGTACAAACCACCAGCAGACCCTCAGAGTCCCGAGAGATTCTTCAAACTACCAGGAATAACAAGGGTGCTTGTTTTGAAAACTCCAGAAAGAATCAGGAGAAGTCCCAACCAAATACAAACAAAGGATATAACCAGATAAGAAAAATAAAATGGGAAACCATGTAGAAGCCACAACCCTGTTCAACCACTGATAATAAAAAAGGCCCAGAAGGACGTCCTGTCCAGATTTGACAGGTAATTGAATTGGTTGGGCTTAAAAGAATTAGC